CTAATCTTCCGTAGGTAATGCAATAAGGGTGATTCTGCACAGCATTGACAGAATTGTAATGATTATTAAGCAGCTATTTATACTGTAAGACATGTATTGCTCTTTACACAATTGTATTGGTATCATGTCACGAGACAAAATATAAATTCGGAACTCTGGCAACGTAGTGCAACCATGTGTTGGATTATTGCCCGTGGAAGGTGATATCATAGAACTTTTATCCAGAAACTAGGGCACACTTCCCCAAAAACTCCTGCTACAGGGAAACATTTATACAGCACGGCAGTGAAAGTGACATAAATATTTGTAATTCTCAAAGCTAGAACTTAAAACAAATGTAAAGAATAACCAATATTAATATGGTGGCTTTTGTACGGTGACCAGGCCGAGACCATCAACTTACTAATCGGGTCTGTGGATTTGGCTCAGAGCTCACATGGTCACTCAAATGTATGTATCTAAATTAAAGTGCATACAACTGAAGCTTTAAGCAATATACAATTCCGTTTGTAATGGTTTGTAAAAAAAAATGCAAGTGTTCATGGAAGCATTACATAGCTCCATTAGCAATATTTGATTTCAGATACTGCATTAGTTTAGATACAACAACAAAAGCGTGGAGTAGTTAACGTTTCACAGTTGAGTTGTAATTGTGTGTAATTAACAGATTAGGTGAAATAATAAAAACGTTTAATGTGTTGCAGAAATTATATGTTCATACTGTAATAACTTCAATTATCAAGAACTGTTGAGAGATTTGTATTTACTGTAATAACCAACTTGACTAAATCACAAAATGCTCCACACACATATCTACATTTTCTCCTTGGGAGATTTGTTTCACAAATAGAAATATTACTCATGTTCACCACGTGGAATTTCTGAAACTTCAAATCATGTATAACTGCCAAATATACCACGGAAAACTGTATAAAATTATTCCCCATATATCACCATAAGCAGACTAACCTTTCATGTAATGAATGGTCATACATCTCATTTCAAAATGTTAAAATATAATTACAAAAATATTCCATTTGATTTATGCGAGAGAAAACTTAGAAGATAACATCAAATTTTTACTTAAACTGATTATTATCTTACATCTGAAATAAGACTAAAGATTAAATATAGAACAGTCGAAAAAATACTGTAAATTGCTGGGAAGGTATTTAACATTATTTAAAGAACACAAGTACAGTTTCACTCATTGTTTTTTTCGGTAAAGTCACGTATGTAGAAATACAATAAAATTATATTAAAACAAAAAACAATCACGACGTTTCGATCACAACGCAAGCGATCTTCATCAGGTGCCTCTACTGAAAAACCCAATGAGTAATTTTATGCAGTCACGAAAGCTTTAATGCTTTATTACAAGTACAGTTTGTCGTCAACTTGATTATTTTACTGTAAAACATTCAAATTTGTATCAATTGCCTTTTATTGTAAAATAAATCAGTGCTGGCTGCATTATCACTACACAACATTCCAGAGTACAGTATATGGTCTTGCTCTAATCATTGCATCTTTCACTAAAACAAGTACGAGCACACTTCAAAATCCAGTTACCCCAATTCCCATACGTAGATACAATTCTACATCATTCAACTGCTAAAATCACGCGTTCAAATTTTCACTCTAAAAGTAAAAAAATGCCCGTTTTATGATTTCCGCATTATTTATTTATATGTCACAAAATGTACATTGAGTTTACAAAATATCTAACTTCACCCACAAAGTTTGTGTAGTATGGTAATTATATTACACCACCTTATATCTGTGTCGATCCTGATACACTACAATGTATATTTTACAATTAATGGGCATCCATTAGTTAAGGTAAATGGGTCGCTAATAAGATTAATTTTGTTGGTTACTTAGTTGCGTTTGAATATGCCTTCATTAATTACTTAAGAATTGAAATCAAGCATATCCTATGCACGTAAATGCATAATCAACACAATAACCCAGACACGTCAACAAAAAGCCACAGCAATTACCAAAAGCTGAACGGTGCCAATTGTAAACTTGGTTGAAACAATGCGCAATGTTAATGCACGACCAAGGCAGCACATATGTAATTATAATTAAAACACGGACACATTATGCATATACAGGATTTCTGCAACGCTTTGCAACACGTGCTTGTCCTTAAATCGCGTCTCCCAAGGTTTTGGCAACCTATTTGGTCAATTTGGCCAGTTTTCTATCGGGTTAATTTGATTATAGCAAAACTGTTTTTTTGTACAGTTTAGAACATTAAATCATCTTAATAAGAGTTCACGTGACCCACCCTGCCAAAAAAATGATAGACAGATGGACAAAACTAATGCATACATCATTTCAACCTCCGTTGAAAAGCATTTAATATATCTTAAGAGCAACACCATCGGTGCCTTTGTGTGTATTGCGAGTCACGTTTTGCTTGCACCTCCAGACTCACACTATTACCCTGCACAAATTCTATATTATACCTTGGAATTACAATCGAAATCCACTCCACTATTCCCACCAGAAGGATATTACATTCTTGGTTCTTTCGGAAAAGTCACGTGACTTTACCGAAAGAAGCAATAATACGAATCCCTGCAGTCACGAACGCTTTAAATCGAAAAGAAGGATGTTTATTCCCCGTTGACATCGATGAAGAGTCGAGCGAGAAAAGTTTGGAAGCGTCTCTACTACACGTGCGCTTGCCCCCAGCCAATGCGGTTTCCTCCTACCACTCAGAAAACAGAAAAATCGTACAATACATCAAGGACGTGCGTAATTTAACGTGATGTAATGTGACCCATTCATTATAAATATAATGGGTCACTTTTCCAAGAGTAAATCAGGATATGTATTATGCACAGCATTCCCTATAGTCACTTGCGTCTATTTTCCAAGAATTTTCTTTTTTTTAAACGATAAGTGAAAAATGTGCCTTTGCTACCACACTACAGTAGGTCAAATTATATAATAATTATCTATTTCGATTGCCCTCTTCCTTCCCACTACTGGATGGAGGGATGGAGGCCTCACCTCCCCATACAATGTCTGTCATGGTGGTTTGTTTGACCACACTTAACGAAGCTGGCCAGGAAGGTTTGGTGAAAGGGGAGGCTCAAAATCGGTTCTAACATGCCAATCAATCGAGTTACATTCGTAAAAATAAAACCAAAGCACTCAAATCTGACTTTACTGGGTAAACGCTGGCAAGGCAGCTGGAGACGTGGCTTAAGGGATGCAGCCATAAACAATTCCGCAGCTTTAAATGAAAAGGCTAAAATACGCGCAAAAACACTAAACCTTTTCAACACTAAATAGGCCCCCGTGTAGTAACAGGCTGTCAAACACGGCTTTGAAGCTTTTCTTCCAGGAAGACGAAACGTGCCTCAATAGCAAGAGGCGCTCGAGTGACGCCAACGCATAGAGGACATGAGAAAACACGCGAGTGACGCCGAAATCGTTGCAAGTGCGCGTTTTAAACGCGCTTACTCTATTAAAGTATTCTCACCGAAGGAGATTTCAAGCCTGTGTTGTTTCACAAGCCCCGAGGACCTCGTGGTTCTAGGTGGTATCTCTACCAGGACCGCTTGATTTGTATTGGTTCAATCTTATGGGGTGTTTGTGTGGATGTTTTTTTTTTAGAGGCAATGCTGATGAAAAGTGGCTGTTGGAAATCTTCCCCCTGGTAAGGTGCTCGCTTGGCATGAACTAGTTTAATTGTTTAGCTTGTTTATACCTTTGAACTGTAAATAAATCACTGAGTGTACAGGAGTGGTGGTAAGATGTAAAGTATAATGATTGCATGACAAACATGTTGCATCCTTGATGTGAATAGTTGAATAAAGTATACTTATATTCGCAAAACGTGACCTATTTGCACGTAAATTGATCACAAGCCCAACCAATCAATTCCCCCACTGTTGCAGTACAGTAACACGTAATTTGTGCAAAGTTAGTAAAACGCACATAAAAAACAGGTGTGTCCCATCATATTTACAGATGACTTAATGTTGTGGTACATTTGGTATGCAGCAAAATGCACATTGATGCGTTTAGGGTTTTTTTTTAAAATATTCGCATCCTTGGCGTGTGCCTTACGTCTCTGTGCAACCTAGTTCGCGGTTGAGGTTTATTCAATACAAAATAAACCTAAACTATTCGCACAAAGGGAGGGCTATCATCTGGCCCCCCAACATCAGCGCGCACGAGATGCATCGTCAACATTTAGTCCGATTTTCTTGTCCTTCAAAACACACACAATCTTGATTTGAATCTCTCGTGACTGCAGGAATCCACACTCTTTGGTTCTTACGGTAAAGTCACGTAGGTAGAAAATAAATCACGACGTTTCGGGCGCAACACAAGCGTCCGTCATCAGGTGGGAGAAAGCACGATCTGCTGCGGAAGCAGACTTTTATTCTTACTGCGTTGTGGAATGCATTCAGGGAAACCGCTACGCCATCTCCGCGAAAATAAACGTGCAAAAGTCCATCGGCCTATTAGCATTCCAACCAAATATCATCCAGCAACCAGCATTTGTTTAAGAAAGTGAAGGCGAGTGACGCAAACAGGAACTGTGCAACATACCCAGCCAGACGCGTCGAAGGCGCGTGGCCGACGCTCGCTCGACACGCAACGCACAATACGCGTGCGGTCCACCTCTAACCCAACACTCTGCGCGTGCAACCAACATCACAATGACAACATTACAAAGACTCCAATAAACACACCTACAACAACACCACCACCACACACCATCACATCGCACGAGGGCCGTACGCAACTCGTCCCACATTGCATAGTTCGCATAAACAACGCGCGGCGAATCGTCGCTTCCTATTGGTTGACACTCAGCCAACGACCAATCGGCGCGTAGCTCGGCCCCCCGCGTGCGCCGCGTCAGCCAATGGGAGCTGCGTAAATAGAGCGCGGTGCGCGTGTGCTCTACCAAATGCAGAGGGGGGGCGAGACGGCATACCCAGCTCGCGACTGACTGCCCTCCTCACCTTTAAGTTTGTGCTGTGGCCGCGGCGGCGGCGGTGGATCTCCGCCGCCGTCCTTCACTACCCTGTGGGGCTTCTCCGTCGCCTCCCTCTTCCTCTTCGCCTTCTGCTGCTGCTGCTGCTTGATCGCGCCAAGCGGCCCCGTGGCGCCGCCCGCGTCTGCCTCGGCGCTCGCTGCTGCCGCCGCCGCCACCGCTGTCAGCAAAGCGCCGTTGCTGCTGCTGCTGTTGTTATTATTCGCGTTGTTGTTGTTGTTGTTACTACTGCTGCCGCCGCCGCTGCTGCTGCTATTGCTGCTACCGCCGCCGCCGCTGCTGCTGTTGTTGTTGTCCAGGTATCCCGCCTTGCTCAGCTTCTTGTAGTCGTGGTGTGCGCGCTTGCGCTTCGCGGGGCCAAGCGCCGAGGGGGCCACTCCGCCGCCACCACCACTACCGCCGCCACCGATACTAACACCGCCGCCGCTATTAACGCCGCCGCCTCCTCCTCCTGCTGCTCCGCTACCCACACTGCCGACTCCTCCGCCGTGGCCCTGGCCGCCTGCGGCAGCTACGGCCGCTGTGGCCGCAGCCGCCGCCACGGAAACGCGGACACCGCCGCAGCTCACTTGCGCCATTTTGAGCGCGAGGATCGGCCCGTACGCACACGCGCCCCCACCCCGCCCCTCACCCCCCGCGTCCCCGCCCCTCACCCCCCGCGTCCCCGCCCCTCACCCCCCGCGTCCCCGCCCCTCACACCCCGCGTCCCCCCGCCCCTCACACCCCGCGTCCCCCCGCCCCTCAAAACCCAAGTCCCCTCCATCCCCCCCGCATCCCCGCCCCTCACACTATCCAAGAGGCCACGCCCCCCCAACCGCTCTGCACTTGGAGACCCCCCCCGTTGAGGAGCTTTAAACGCGAGGCCCCACCCCCTTTTGAACTAAGGCTCCTCCCCCCGCAGCGTCACTCCTTAACGTGAGGCCACGCCTTCTATAAACACGCGAGCCCCCCCCCCGCCACCTCCACTCATTCGCTCCGCTCGCGCTGCTTGCGAGGCCCCCCCACTCCCCCCTCTGTAACGCCCCGCCCCTCTAACGTGAGGCCCCGCCTCCCTTTTCCTGGCGCGCACGCCAATCGACGAGTAATCGATTTAAATCTTGGACTTAATCATGAATTGTTAAAGTCGATTTTATTTTTAATTGCTCTTTGGCGCCGTTCGGGCAAAGTTCTGCCGTCTTAAGTGGGGATTTAGCTGCTATAAATGTTCACATGATAAGCCACTTTATATTCTTTGGGTAAAAAAACTACTAGTTTTTATTATTTTTCTATCTCCGTGACTTTACCGAAAGACCCAAAGATTACTAGCAGTTTTTTGTTATTTTCTTTCAACATATCTCCGTGACTTTACCGAAAGACCCAAAGATTACTAGTAGTTTTTTTGTTATTTTCTTTGAACATATCTCCATGACTTTACCGAAAGACCCAAAGAATATGAATTCCTGCAGTCGCGAAAGCTATAAGCCACTTCGTTCAGCGATCATTTGTGGTTAAGAGTCGCTTCTGAAAAAAAGCCACATCGGCATAGTAGTTTAGTTTATAGTTTTCGTTTTATACCCATTAAAGGTGACACGTAAAAATCGATTATCGATTAATCGTTAGATTAAAAGAAGTGATTCTGCCGACGATATGCGTATGGAATCCACTTGTAAGAAGACATTTTAGATTAATGTACGTGTATAGTTATTACGTAATTTGTATGCTTAAGCATATATCCTGCGTGGTGCAAACAAAATAATCGAAACTTGACCAGCATTCAACAAGCCCGAGACCCAGCCGCTTATTGGTCGGCGCACGGACAACGTCACAAACCAGCCGGGCTTTCTCATTGGTCCGCGCTGTTGTTGTGGGGTCAGTGGGCGGAGGGGGGTCTGGGGGGGGGGGATTTGACGGTTAAATGGGCGTGGCTACTTGGTAAGTGGGCGGGACTACGTGAGGGGGGGGGGCTATGCGGGTGAGGGGCGGGGCTATATGGGTGAAGTGGCGGGTCTCTGAATGAATAGTCGTAAGGAATATCGGGCACGAGGAAGGCATGGCTTGTAAGTGGGTTATGATATTGATTGGTTAGTTGCTTGCTCGTTTATTCAAGCTTTGCACTATTGCCGTGGCTGCTGGGACATCGCTCGTTTGCTGGAGTAGCAGAAACACAGAAGTTTAATGGGACTGCGAGTTCAAATCGTGTCCAGGATCAATTGAGTCCTTGCATTATCAGCGTTAATTAATTATCGTGACTTACAATAGCCCGGGTTGGGGGCCGTCCATAAATGACGTCACGCGATTTTGGACGATTTTTGACCCCCCTCCCCCTCGTCACACGGCGTCACAAAAAGTCAGACCCCCCTCCAATATGACGTCACAAAGCTCTGCCTCCCCCCCCCAAAAAAATATAAAATATGCTTCAAATCGCTTTAAACGATTGTTATTGTCGTGCGTATTTAACGCGCTGCACTCTGATGTAGGATATTTTTATTATTATTAAAAGGTCTATTTAATTAACTAGAACGTGTTGCCTATATTTATTTAAAGTTGCGCATTTTGATGTGACGTCACATTTCTCACCCCCCCCCCCTCGTCACACATCGTCACAAATGTCTGACCCCCCCCCCCCCCCCCCCCCCTAGGTGTGTGACGTCGTTTATGGACGGCCCCTTGGTGATTGTCTGAAATGCGAGTGCTCGTCACGGGAACGTGGAACTTACATTGCTGGCTCAAGATCGTGCTGAATGAAAAATGTATGAGCATGCATTTAGACTAGTTTGACATACTTTACGAAGATGTGTTTTATCGGGCCGTGGGAGGGAAACTATACTTACCGAGTGTGGCAAGACTGCTCGTCAGAAAGGTCACATTTAAAATGTTCCGACAGTTACATTTTACTTGCAGGAGAAAACCAAGAAATGCACCCAACAGGTCAAAACCCCCCCGAGAGTCTGCGACACGTGGTCTAGAGTTCACCTGGTTAAAGAAAGGATGTTGCATATGCTTCTTTTGAAAAAGTACACAATGAGAAAAAAATAATCTTGACAATTCCCCTCTTTTGCATGAATTAAAAGCGAACGCATTTGTTGGCCGTGATATTAGGAGACAAAGGAATTCCCTATTATAGATTAATTGTATTAATATAAAATCGTAGTACAACAAACTAAAATAACGATATAGTCGGTGACATTTCGCGCAACGAAACTTATCCACAGCAGTCCGCGACAACGGACACAATGGACGAGAGGGTTGAGATCTGTTTGGGGGGGGGGGGGGGGGCCTCTGGCACGAGCAAAAAATCATTATAGTGCATTGAATCATTGCGGGGTCTTTAATGTCCAAATTTGTAGCAGATTGTCACACGTTGGTAATATCTTAAAACTTAAAAATATTTTCCTCCATAGATCTTGGACGCAGGGCAACCACGGTGCCCTGTATAATGCATACATTTGGAAAATCTTCCCAACGTGTTTCAGCACATTAGCTTCAACAACCTCGTGGTGGCCTTCTTCAAGGCTCGAGAGAGAGAGAGCGAGCTTTACTTTCGAAGCTAAAACAGAAATGAGTAGATTCCCTGTTGCTGGAGGAAGATGTCATCGATACGCAGGCCAGAATTCCTGAACGTTGCATGTGCGAACAGACCCGGGTCACGTGAGGCCGCGCGTGCCCGAATGGGCCAGAAACGTGTTTGGCAGTGTGCACCACCCCCACACCGCTACCCCCATACTTTACCCCACGCCCCCAGCTCCCTCTGCTCTCAGATAACCCCCGCACGCTGCAGCTCTCAATCTCCCACCCCCAACTTCCACCCTCCCTTCCCTCCCACGGACCTCGTAGTGACCGCTGGATCCAACTTTCCCTTTCACCCCCTCTCAAATACTGCCTCTTTCTGCAACCGACCACCACCATCCACTCGACTCAACTGCCAATGCCCCCTCTTAACCAGAACCCCCAGCCAGCTCACCCCTCTGACCCCATATCCACCCACTCTCCGCCCCCCCCAACGAGTTGCATCACGCATATGATGTGCAGCGGAGTGACAGTCATACCGAGTATGGAATGCGTTTTAATTTATAATCCGACGGTCGTTGCGAGCGAGCGAACGCGCGCACGCGCACGCACACGCGCGTTGACAGGCATGGGGTTTTCATTGGGGGGGGGGGGTCTTCATTCATTCACTCACCCCGCACGTTAATGAATACATGAAGTCATCATACACTGCTTTACACTGCACGACTACAGTGTTTATGTTAGTCGGTTTAACGCGGAGGCTTTCGCGACCAATATTATCCATAGTTTTGGGTTAGATCGCGTTACTCGAATTGTAAATGTTGTTGAGTTTACTCTCCAACACACCGGTGTGCTGAACTAGTAACAAATTGGCATGTTTTGTTTACCTGACAACCATGACCAATTGTCTGTGTCAGGTGGTGGCGGGTTTAACGACACATTTATATTTATGTACCCCATCACCAACCCGCACTGAAGTATGATCGAACAACCCCCACGAGTCACGCGGGAGTTTTGAGACCCTGTGCCAACAGAGGATTGACAAAAGGGCTGTACGTTTATTATGTGCATATCAATAAACAGCTTTCAACATCGCTGATAATAAAGCACATCTTATTTTCTGTCCACGCTATAGTCTACGGCCCTTTGTTAAACAAAATTTAAGCAAGAAATTTTAAACAGAGCGCAAAGGTTCCATTATACAGCCCTGGGGTGGCTCTACAACGCATACTTTGGCTTTGACGGTCAGAAAATTAAGTGAGCAAATGCAATTACCGGCTTTGAGCTTTTGGAGTTATTAAGGAAAATCAACTCGAACGAGTAGTAGTACAACGATCCTGACGACTTGTGAGTGTGGGAAATTTTCAGTGGAAAATAACTTTACAATAAAAAAAATGCCTCGCCTCTATTTAGTGCACTGTCTGGTATGCTTGTGTTTTTCGAAAGTGTAAGTCAATGTAACACCACTCCTATCTGTATTCATACCATACACCGCCCACACAAAATATTTTTGCAACAAACACTGCAATTTACAATTGTATTTGAGACATACACTTCCTTCATGAATCCACACTGGCCCAGCGAGGTGGTGTTAAAGTTAAAATGGGATATACATTGTTATTATCGTATTACATTTCAGTGGGTGAGGTGTGGTGTGGCGCAGTGGTTAGCACACTGCACTCTGAACCCATATGTAAACTGAGTTTGATTTACAGCCAGAGCTGACATCAGTGGCGAGTGATAGCTGAACTGGTTCAGTATCCCCGCCCACCCCACCTTGACCATGCCACAGTAATCAACGTGGTGAAGTATGGTCAAATAACCCCCACGACTGACAAGGCATTTACAGGCTTTAATCATGCAGGGGATACATGGGTGTAAATAACTGATGTTTTAAATAGTGATGTTTTAAATATTTTACATAAAAGCCTCTATTTGGATCTCAGCCACCTTAAAGGCCACATTGTTGCATGTAAGCTGTTCACCCCGGCATGACATCGAAAGTAAATGTTTGCGATTCTGTTGAATGTTAAACATCACAGTGCTGCACTTGGAGAAGTGGAGTTGATGTGATGGCCACAGTGTTAGTGCTTGTGTTTGCCATGTTACACAATATATCGTAAAGGTGCATTCATAAACAGTGGGTAATCCCCGCTGATTAAAGAGCCAATGGCATTATTCTAATCGGCAGGGACTTGCAAAACAAAAGTCGATTACAGACCGAGTGGTTTGTTAAAGAAAAAAAAATACGATTACAAGCCCTCTCTGTCGCCGCACGTGGGAATTCAAAAATCATTCTCCATCGAGATTGAAGCTGCCTGCAGATGAAGGAGTCGTAATGAACTATGCAGGACCTTTGTCCGGCACTTTATTCGGCTGGTATGTTATTGATAGAAGTGTAAATCACATGACAATACTGCATTCCGACAGTCTCACTTGATGTGCCAACGATTCTTGGGAAGCAACTTATATTTGACGAGTTGCAGAATCAGATTATGTATTTATCCTGGAGTAAGACGATGAGCTATAAACAGGCAAGATACTAAACACGACAGGAGTGCAAAGTACAAGAGAGATAAACAAATCACCCAAACACAAACAAATACAACTAAACCATCCCCATCCTACCAGGCAAAGCCCGCTGAGGTATCAACTTATTTTTAAAAAGCAACCTGGCCACAAATGATAGCTCAACACAGTGGGTTATAATTTTGATATTAATAGCAGCAATATAATCTAAATGGTCTAAACGCATGTTGCAAGCTTTCGTAGCAAACAGGAGCCAATCACACGATCAGCAAACCACAAGGACACGCAGGATTACGACCATTAAGCAATGCACAAAACACGAGACGTTACAATATTTAATTGTTAGTCTGTGAAACGAACATCAATGTCAAAGCCATGGATAATCCAAATTTAAGGTTGCCACCGCTGAGATACAAAAACAATCAGGGACATATGCGAACATTTCACAATACCAAAAAAGAGGATAACTATACACACGCACACATATGTAGTGCCTTCAGTGGTGTGGTCTTACTCAACTGACAAAAAGCAGGAATTATGTTGCTGGTTTATCCCAGGACGGCTACCTTTAAACAAGATATCCTGGGAAAACCCAGACGGGTGGCAACCGCAATGCAGACCATCACGCACTGACCAAAAATGCTTCAAAGCTATTCCTGCTTCACGGTGCTCATGAGAAACGGTTTGTGCGGAGGGAGGAATCTGGACAGGCGGAGATAAAGACAATGAAACCAGCAGCTGCCTTCAACAGAGATTCGTTATGGGTGACCCTGAACTTCCAAAGCCAGGGGCGTCATTAGGTGGATTAATGACTGCACAGAACGCCACCTCGTGGCCACGTTGATGGGATTTTACACATTAAGTTACAGACAATAACTTTATGTATGTTAAACAACAAAAAACTGAGACATATCCTGGGAATATGAATATCGCACAATACCGGAAGACGAGAGAACTGCATGTCATTTGCATTGTCTTGAGTAGAATATGATTTCGCAAAAGGCAGTAACTGATACTTTTAAATTTAACAGATTTGCCAGCAACAGCTACCTTTAAAACATACGAATGATCCTGGAAAAACCAGAACAGGTGGCAACTCTCATAATACCAGCCTCAACCCCCTATACGTGTGATTGCAGCCTTAAAATACAGGAATACAAATGCTAAAACAAAATAAGTTTAAACGTGGTTATTTTTTGTCCCATTTTAATCTTCTCCCACAAACCACTGGAGTAGTAAGCTGTCAACCGCACACACACACACATGGAAAAAAACATGAGCAAGGCTATTCAGGCCACCGTGTTTGATCAACCGTGTTTGAATTTGAAGAGTTTATATTTAACGTGGCGCCTTCCGTCGAACTCGCAGCCAACAACTTGATTCCACGACCCACCCCCCTTGCTACGGAGAACAATTTTTGTGAAATGTTTACACCAAGAATGAAACGGCTTTGCACGACCACCCCACACGCACACACGCACAGTGCCACCTCCAATCGCACCCCTTCGGAGCAAATTACATTAACATCACCCAACGGCTTCTGTAATCCAAACCCTGTACCTTCCTGCTCCAAGTCATTTCAAAGCGGTGTACGTGTGCTGCATATTGCTTTAAGAAAAACTGCAGCACCTACTCGTGTATTATTTTTTGTTGTCGTTACAACCATCATTAAAGATCGAGTGAGTTTTTTTTTGCTGGTTCCAGGGTGTGCGAGTGTTGCGCTCCCCAACGCCAGGTGAGCATCTCCACCAAGCCGCAATGATCAGCGTGGTTGAAGTTCCGTCAACATTGAAGTACGTTCAACATACATTGGTCGGAGCGGCTTGAAATGCGGCGAGTGAGCACATGCGCAGGTGCCGGATTGATTGTTGCATCGTAACACCCGCGAGAGATAGCGACGGCTTCGAGGGTCTCTCATCCAGCAGTGGTTAAAACATGGTTGGTGAGTGGATATAATATGCAGGAGGTGGGCCTTTAAAGTGAACGCTTTGATAAACACGAGCTCTTGACACTTTCGGGGCCATCCATTTAGTCCGTACGCATGAATGACTCCGAGCCAATGACTTAAGCTCTACAAATGCCCGTGCAGTCTCTTTGGTAAAGTAACTGATGAATGAGACGACAGGCAACAGGCCACGCTGAAACATATCCAAACTTGCCCCCCCTCCACCCCCCTGGACAATTAATCCGAGGACATTTATCTTTGAAATAATTCATATCGTTATCACACTCGCGCCTGTAAGATTGCGCTGTTTACATTGGCCCGCATATTCGGGAAAGTGAGAATCCATTAGCTCCATTGTGCTGCAAGTTTCGCACCAAATTCAGTTGAATGAATTTTGGTATTTTATTATCATGCACAACATCGCCTATGTAGGAAAGGGAGATTTGGTGGTAAAACAACAACCATGTACACAAATTCACTTTTTTTAATTGGTGTTTATTTGTTAATAGTTTCGGACAGTGTGCAGTTAAGATTGTGGGAAAGATATTTGAACAAAGGCATTATTGTAGAAACATGCAGTATTGTTCTTTGCGGACGAAGCAGTTTTCATGATCGATTCTAACAAAATTGCTGGTAATTCCACGACGGCGTGTTAAGCGTATCTGTGTGTAGCTGCGGATAATATAAAAATAACTCTTAAATATGCAGTGAATTTGTTATGCCCAAAAACGTTCCTGGAGAAATCCAAAAGTTTGAAAGTCAATGTTGTTTTTAATTTGTTGTTTCGTTTCCAATAAACACAACTTATTTATAATTTTCTTTTCCGCATGTATAAAAAAATCTAATATTTTACAAAGGCACAGATGAATACATCTATATTGATTGTGCATGAGACTTCTTTACATCTTTTGGACATTAGGATAAAGAACATCCTATACAGCCCAGGGACGAACCGATTTGCCGTCAGATCCTACACCACATTCCCTCTCTAGTTAAAAACAATCTCCCCAAGTTCCAAAAAAAAATGAAAAAACACAATACAGTATACAAAACTATTTTGGTAAGACTAGCATAACACAATAAAGTAATACCGTTATGACTGAAGACGACGAAAGAAAATAAATGGTTCCACCCGCGCAGAGTTGTGAAGAAATGATATTTATTGCCAAATTAAAGTGGCCAAATGAATTCAGAGGGAATGATCGTTAGCTACCGTGCACTTTCCATACGTATACGTGTAAAGGCAAGTCCATGAAGACCGCGTACCTGCATATAGGTGTTGGCTTCTGAAATGTTTGGGCCACTGTCAGTATATACTCGGCATAGTATGGTTTACTACAACATTTAAGGCAAAGTGGGGAAACAAGCCTGAAAGCCCATCAAGTGTCTAAAGAACATGGGAGGCGTTTCTAACTACAGGGCTAAGCCACGGCGTAACGTGCTGGTGCCCGTGTCAAAAAACAAAGCCCTTTAACGCTGCAAAACGCGTCTGAAATAAATACGTAGAGATTACAACGGATTTAACAGGGGAGCAAACGGCACTGCGCTCCACGGCAGAGGAGCGCAGTTGGTGCACAGAATTGAGCTCGCTTCCCCTTCACACGTAACCTGACCTTTGGTTGTGGTTGGATCATTAACCCGGCCAGAGAAGAGGTACTGCCCTCCCCAGCCATCGCCTAAATAAACACCTTCCCAGTCTCTCAGGACCCATGCTTTGCTTACGAATTTTAAAATGTTTTTTTTCTGAATTATATGTTCTCATATTATGCGGTAAACTTCCATTTCAAATACCGCAAATGTTCCCAACAGTTTGTTTTATATTATGCACAGCTTAATGTTTTTGTCTTTTTTATTTTTACTTCCCCCCCCCATTCTCCAGAACACTTGGGAAAATCGGAACGCTTGTGTGCACTACTGTCTTCCAAACTCTGCTTCTCGGCAGATAATGCTATTTAAAAATCAGCTGGGCTATACAGATAACAGCATGGTCCAAATAAGAATAACTTAGTATATTATGGCAGTTGGCCAAACTATCGTGCACAAGGACAGTACTGCATTTCACAACAAGCTGACCATTAGTTAATAGCACTCGAAAATATCTGATGGAATGAACAGGTTATTGCTTTATACTGTTCCACATTATATATATAAAAAAATGCATATTAAAACATGACCAAACAGTCAAGCGAATACAATACTCAAAAATAACAAGCAATAACGTTTGCGAACAAAGGAACTGTCAAACATTTCTTTCTCTTTGTGTTTTATTCAAGTCCATCACGATCATCTATTAATTTTTATTCCATTACCATACGGTTTGATTGTCGCACAAATACCTGCTTAATTATTAGTACAAAAACCATCCTTGGGCAGTTTTTTCAATCTTGCAGCTTGCACTGTGCTGCTTTTCTTGCGTCACCCCACCGCACCACAGTACCGGTTCGAGCAAAGCACGGCGCTTTCCTGTCGCAAGTTCGACTTCGTGTTGGACGCGAGGTGGTGGGTCTGCTGCTTCGTGCCACGGTCAGTCAAACAGCCGTCGCGGTTTGATCACAGGACACCAAGATTGTTTTTGTCGTATTATTATTATTATTAATGATGAATGTACTGTACTGTAGAATGTCTAAACAAACTCCTATTATCCTGGTCTGCATTTTAACAGAGTGCACATGAACATTGACCTGAAACACACCGGACAAGGCAGTCGAAGCGTATTGACTTACGGAGCAAATTAAACACGTAACAATGTTATAATGTTTGGTTGAAAATATTTGGTTGCTTTTAAGTAGATTGGAGCACCCAAAATAAAATATGCAATTTAATAAATCTCGTCCTGCATCTTGGATGAAATGTCTCATTTGTTGTCATGCAGTACATCTCTTAATGATTAGCAGACCCTGTGTCTCAGCAGAAAGGCAGAGGTATGCTGCTGGCATTGAGTGTGGTCCCCCTTTACGGCAGGGCTTGCTCAAGCTTTGGCTGGCTTCTCTTGGTCCCGCCGGATTACTGCAGCACTGGCCCGCAAGCTACGGGCAGCAAAACAGGAGTCACGTAAACAAACGGTCAACAATCGCATAGCTTACTGAACCCGTTAGGGCAGGGCTGCCGGCTCATTATTTTTGGCACACAAACATTGAACGAACCGGTGACCATCCACGGCAGCACCCTCGGGCCGGGCGAGGCCTGGCCGGAGCCTTCCCACCTGGTGTCAGAAACCGTAAAGCGCTGGGAACGGAATTACGAGCCATAATCTCCCAACGCGGCGGTCTGTAGTTTTCCATAAACAGGTAGCGGCTTTCTAGTGCACAGCAGGTAAGCCTCCCTCGCGAGAGCTGAGAGCAGCATGTGGCACGCACTTACCCCATGACAGTGTCCTGCCTACGCGGGATTTTCAAAATAAATTACTTTCTTCCAAATTTTATCTCGATTGTGCTGCCAGAATCATATGGAGCAGTGCAACCGTTCCGAGTTAGAGAACCGTCCACAGAAACAGATATCCCTACTAGTGATCTCCGTTCTGCACAGCAGGGGATGGTACGTGCCCACTTACTCTGCCACCGAGGCTAATGTTCATTGCACGACAGCGAAATCGGCATTTATTAATTTTCAGAGTTGATATTTGGACAAATAAAGAGGGTAAAAAAGACACATTTAGCATGAAAAGGATTTTTGTTGTGCAGTCCATGTTGACCAGGCTGAGACCTTTAACCATTTCAATTCGAACCAAAATTGTCAACGGTGGCAGCCGACTGTTCTGACCTTTGAGCCACCCGACCAACTCTCCCACCACGCCGACCAATGACTCTCCTACCACATGCCGCTTTTAAATAACCGACGCCAGCCGCCCACGATCTGACCCTCTCCCCACCGGGGGGAGTAATTTGAGGCCTTATTATGCATCTTTTGAATGTCGATCCATTTAATAAGTTTCATCCGCCTGGGTCGGCTCCTTTCTTCTCAGCCTAATCCTCCGTGACTTCTCCATCGCCATGGGTATGATGTCATGCAGATCGACACAGAGCTGCTAAAGTGAGCGGTAATCTCCGATCTCCTGAGTGAGGCTCTCGGCTACTTGGATGATGTCATGAAGTGGGTCAAACGTGCACGAGGCGGGTTTAACTCAAGGGAGGAGGAGCGGGGGGGGGGGCAGTGCTCGCTTTGTCAAATGCCCGCTCCTTTCTAGAGCCCGCTCATGGGACGGCGGATTTATCTGGCTTTGGCTGCTGGTCTACACACAGGTGGGCGGCATTTATATTTGACAACGCAAAACAGATGCAGGGGAATGCGAAGAGTTTCTTCTCTCTCGATACGAACCTCGTAAGTTTACAGATGTTAGCCACAGCTGACGGCCGTTCAACTGCGCGTCCGCAAATGAGCGATGCCATCGCGTGAGCATGTAAACCATCCATTCTTACGCTCACGGTACGTGCGTCAAAACTCGCGTGTGCAACAATCATTGTTTCCAATTCATGCACGTTTTACAACAATCATTTCCCGTTATATTTAGGTGAATGCTGCAAAAAATAATACAAGTGAGACAGAAAAAAACCCAATAAGCGTTACAAATGAGATGGCAAACATAACACACACAACATAACACACACACACACAGACAACATAACATACACAACAAAACACACACACACAAAACACACACACACCATAACATAACACACACACCATAACATAACACACACACCATAACATAATACACACACCATAACACACACACACCATAACACACACACAACATAACACACACACACCATAACATAACACACACACCATAACATAACACACACACAACATAACACACACACACACAACAAAACACACACACAACAAAACACACACACACCATAACATAACACACACCATAACATAATACACACACCATAACATAATACACACACCATAACATAATACACACACCATAACACACACACCATAACACACACACACACCATAACACACACACACAACATAACACACACACCCCATAACATAACACACACACCATAACATAACACACACACACAACATAACACACACACAACATAACACACACACAACATAACACACACACAACATAACACACACAACATAACACCCACACACACACATAACACACACACACGCAACAAAACACACACAACATAACACACACACAACATAACACACACAACACACACAACGTAACACACACCATAACACACACACACACACCATACCACACACACAACATACCACACACACAACATAACACACACACCAAAATACACACAAAATAATACACACAACAAAACAATTATTGAATAACTTCGTGAACCCATATCGTGAAAGTTTATCGAATTGCTTTTTCCATCGTGTTAATTGTTACATGCCTATTATTCTAATTGTTTAAAATGGCTACTAGCCCTCGAGATGCATTTTCCTCTTCTGCTGACGTTTTCAAAAGTAACGTTGAGACGAGATGGGACGGTGGCACTCACCCTGCTCTTTCAGACTCGATGCTGTGCTTCATCTCCACGGGCAGCCAGGGATTCTGCAGTGACAAAGTCAGTCGATACTTTTAGTAAATATACTGGGGCATTCAAAAAACATTTGCAGAAACAAAAACATCCCGCGCCATTTACGTTACACGCGTAAGTTGTTACTAGTTACGTTTGTAAACGCTTTGTCGATGATGGTAAAGTCTAGAAGTATGAGAGAAACCTTAAACAACATGACATGGTTGAATATGAATTGTATATTTTATAACAGTGTTTTGAGATCACATTTATATCATGATAGGAACACACCAAGATGCCCAACCGAACATTATCGATATAATTTAAAATAATATAAGATGACCCTCTATAAAGTTTACAATTCAGAATATTACTTTCACATGCTAATTAGAGCATTAACATAATTCTGTACTTCTGTTCATGTGAATGCAATGCAGTGTTCAATAGTCTCAACGTTCATGTGAATGCAATGCAGTGTTCAATAGTAATTATAAACGACACGCACCAGGATCGTTGATCGGTTTCGAAGCAGAACTCTGCATTCAGCAAATAAAAGAATGTGATTTAATTGCATCCACTAAACAAAGCATTTTCATCACTTACAACCAGGGTGCGGCAAAAGTCAGGAACCATACGCCTGCATAATAAATGATAGCTTGCACCTCCGGTTAGCACGGTTGGCTACGCACGGTTTGAAATAATTTTTTATTTAAAGCTTTCGTGACTGCAGGGATTCATATTCTTGGTTCTTTTGGTAAAGTCACGTAGAAGGGAAACAATAAAATATTTTTTTTGTTTTATATTTTTATGGTATGAAAGAAGTTAAACATACATACGTACATACAGTGAGGGAAAAAAGTATTTGATCCCCTGCTGATTTTGCACGTTTGCCCACTGACAAAAAAATGATCAGTCTATAATTTTAATAGAAGGTTAATTTGAACAGTAAGAGACAGAATAACAACAAAAAAGTACGGAAAAACGCATGTCAAAAATGTTATAAATTGATTTGCATTTTAATGAGGGAAATAAGTATTTGACCACCTCTCAATCAGAAAGATTTCTGGCTCCCAGGTGTCTTTTATACAGGTAACAAGCTGAGATTAGGAGCACTCCTTTTAAGAGTGTGCTCCTAATCTCAGCTCGTTACCTGTGTAAAAGACACCTGTCCACAGAAGCAATCAATCAATCAGATTCCAAACTCTCCACCATGGCCAAGACCAAAGAGCCCTCCAAGGATGTCAAGGACAAGATTGTAGACCTACACAAGGCTGGAATGGGTTACACGACCATTGCCAAGCAGCTTGGTGAGAAGGTGACAACAGTTGGTGCGATTATTCGCAAATGGAAGAAACACAAAAGAACTGTCCATCTCCCTCGGCCTGGGGCTTCATGCAAGATCTCACCTCGTGGAGTTGCAATGATCATGAGAACGGTGAGGAATCAGCCCAGAACTACACGGGAGGATCTTGTCAATGATCTCAAGGCAGCTGGGACCATAGTCACCAAGAAAACAATTGGTAACACACTACGCCGTGAAGGACTGAAATCCTGCAGCGCCCGCAAGGTCCCCCTGCTCAAGAAAGCACATATACATGCCCATCTGAAGTTTGCCAATGAACATCTGAATGATTCAGAGGACAACTGGGTGAAAGTGTTGTGGTCAGATGAGACCAAAATGGAGCTCTTTGGCATCAACTCAACTCGCCGTGTTTGGAGGAGGAGGAATGCTGCCTATGACCCCAAGAACACCATCCCCACCGTCAAACATGGAGGTCGAAACATTATGCTTTGGGGGTGTTTTTCTGCTAAGGGGACAGGACAACTTCACCGCATCAAAGGGACGATGGACGGGGCCATGTACCGTCAAATCTTGGGTGAGAACCTCCTTCCCTCAGCCAGGGCATTGAAAATGGGTCGTGGATGGGTATTCCAGCATGACAATGACCCAAAACACACGGCCAAGGCAACAAAGGAGTGGCTCAAGAAGAAGCACATTAAGGTACTGGAGTGGCCTAGCCAGTCTCCAGACCTTAATCCCATAGAAAATCTGTGGAGGAAGCTGAAGGTTCGAGTTGCCAAACGTCAGCCTCGAAACCTTAATGACTTGGAGAAGATCTGCAAAGAGGAGTGGGACAAAATCCCTCCTGAAATGTGTGCAAACCTGGTGGCCAACTACAAGAAACGTCTGACCTCTGTGATTGCCAACAAGGGTTTTGCCACCAAGTACTAAGTCATGTTTTGCAGAGGGGTCAAATACTTATTTCCCTCATTAAAATGCAAATCAATTTATAACATTTTTGATATGCGTTTTTCTGGATTTTGTTGTTGTTATTCTGTCTCTCACTGTTCAAATAAACCTACCATTAAAATTATAGACTGATCATTTCTTTGTCAGTGGGCAAACGTACAAAATCAGCAGGGGATCAAATACTTTTTTCCCTCACTGTACATACATACAGAGGCACATCTCAATCCATTTCACATGGGGTACCTAAACATTCTCCACAATGATCTTAACACACAAAGCTCGTATTTTCGCCAGGATAAATATTTTTTGGTTTTACCAGGTAAGGCCCATTGAGCTGTATAGTTCTTTTTCAGAAGCCCAATGAAGTGGCTTATGTGGAAATTTATAGCAGCCAAATACTATAAACGCATGATTCAAAATGTGGAGGGAAAAACCGGTGGACCCGGTGAAAATTCCATGCGACAACAGGAAGATAGACGTGCATACTCCAAATATACAGGCGTCAGGGTTTGGATCAAACCCACGACCTCCTGTATACCAGGCGAGGTAACTAACACAGTAGCACCCTCAGTATGATCCATACGGTCCTGAAATCCCTGCACGCTGCCATCGTGTAACGGTAAGCACAATGGACTCCCACAATCCAGAGGTTGCCTGTTCAAACTCCCAGCACGTGGCTGTTGAAATAGTGGCCAATTTTCTTAATTATCACCCCCCGCTTCCTCGGGCCACACCTCCACCTCCAATCCCGGCCTCTGTCCACCCAGCAGTATAAATGGATTCACCAGCTTTTGCTGGTGATTACAACCAGCTTCATCAGGCGATTTGCCATAATTGTTAAGAAGTCTTCAACTTCCGGTCTTAAATAGAGCAAGACGACATCATCACTGCGAGTGGTTGTAATCACCAGCGAAACTTCGTACTGAACTGTAAATGCTGTGGGTTTACTCGCCATCACACCGATGTGCTGAATGAATAGTTAATTGGCACGTTTTATTCACATGGCAAACCTTACTAATTGGCTGTGTCGGGCAGTGGTTGGTTAACGACGCACTTATATTTATGCGATCCAACCCAAAAACCTTTACGGTGAATATTGGTCATGAAAGCCTACGTGCTAAATTGAGTTCACCAGGGTTAGTCAATCGACAGTTCACACGTGGTGGGGTAAAGTGTGGATAACCCCCACCCCTTCTAAAACTTTTGCCAGCGTGGAAGCGTAGGCCAAAATAAAAACCCTACAGGGCTTAATTTTAGTGGAGGCCCTTGTGTCAGCAGTGGCATGAACAGGTAATTGCGGGGCTGCACCTTAACCTGTTACCATTACCTGAAATCGCTTTGGTTTGTGACTTTGGAAGCACCTTGTATACACTCAACATTCCTGGCACGCTGCATGAACAGATCCATAAAGCATGCATGCGAGCTCTCTCAGTGGTATGGGAGTATCACAAAGCACACCAGTACGTGTTGAACTTCTTTCGCACCGTACGCAGCCAACCGTGATAACTGGAGGTGCGGGGCTAACCAGGGAGTATCACAGTTCTCACCTCGAGCCTGCTCGGGTGAGCTGCCGCAGCAGCCGGTGGCTGTGTTGGGCTGCGTGGAGCCTGGGCAGCTGGGCGAGGGCTCTCCGGGCTCTCCTGCAACGTGGCTCCTCCTGAAACCACGAACACACGTGACCATCCACCACCCGCCGATTGTACCATCAGTTCCCCACCCCTACAAGGCCCATCCAAGGTTCAATCGTAAGATCTGATTAAATCCGGCGCATTTAAGGTGGTTTGGTCTATATGGAGTAATCATGTAATGGGATATGCGTATTGATTTTAATTGTTTAATAACGTGTAATGTAATGCGCAGCTTGTTGTCATTCCACTTCTGGATCAAAGCCTCCCCAGATTATGACAGTTGTGGGGGATGTTTGAGCATACTTTACCCCACTTGTTATTGCTTGCCACAGATGTTAGCCATGGCCAGGAATTGCACTCAGGTCACCGGGTTCATGGTGTGGTGTGGGAACCACTGCACTAGTGTTACCGCCAGTTTACACGAAATTTGTCTCATCTGGGACTTGATCGAGCGATGTTGGCTCTCAACGCTTTTTACTGTTGCATATGATGTCACTTGGTATTGAAAGTGCACTCCTGGCTCACTCGGGCGATTCCCTGCAGAAATCATATTGCAATCATGAGAACTGCACCATGAACTCCATAGAATATAGCTCAGTGGAGTGCACGGACGAATATGCTACCCCTACCTTGCCTTTAGAACACACGTTCAACAGTCATTCATCAATCGCCTTTCAGCTAATCCTCAGCACTGTTGCATTAGCCCACTAAATCGAAGGCTCGACACTAAATTAGCACTCTCACTTACAACCGCAAATTAAGCCTATTTCCCGCAAATTAAGCCTATTTCCAATTAACCAAGAAGCACTGTGATTGCGAGGCGAGTGTCTCTATATAATGTAAACCAAACAATATTTGTCCAAGTACTTGTGACATGGCCATATAATACACACGTGTTATCTTAATGGGCACACACCCAGTTTTAATTATAGTTCTGGCGCACCAATTGGAAAAATACAAGGCCACCACAACAATAATTGGGGAGGGAGAGGAGGAAGAAAAACACGATGTTTCTGCCTGTAGTGTACCACCCGGTTTTTAACGTAGGTCGCGTGTACACATAAATAGATGGCCAAATTACAAAGTACAAGGTCGCCACAACAATAGCCTCACTTGGAAGGAAATGCCCCTAAAATGTGCAACCGCATGCTGTGCCCAGACTGCACTGAGGATACACGTTTCCCATAGGTGCATTCTCCAGGTCAACACAGTCCATCTGCTTTCCCGTTCTTGGGTGGCACTCATCTCCTGTTTACAGCCCATAGCTAGTGGAGAAAATTCCACAATTCCTATGACAGGGGACAGTCATCCCAAACGACACACGGCATTGATTTCCCACAAAACGATACTTATTTCACCCGAGGCAATTTCTGGGTTGTACCACGTGTTGTTTGGCATGATGTCCGACGTTACGCTCCACGTGCGAAACGTCGGACATTGTGCTTAACAACACGTGGTACAACCCAGAAACCACATCGGACAGCACGACTGCACAACCGCGAGAACCCACGTGGTGGTTCTTCTTTTATCGATCGCCAAAGGACGGCAAGCTGCGTCGACGTGCAACCGGAGTTATGACTCAACAAATGGTAGCTTGTGATATCTGAACCGGATCTAAGCATCCCGTTCACGAAGCTGCACTGACTGATGTGGTTCAGTATGGTGATCTCAAACAACCCCAAAAGACGGTCACTGCATCACGTGTTTTCAGATGCGCTTCTGCGGCCGTCTGGAACGATCTTCCTTCAGATATTAGGAAGCCACTGGAGCTATGCACCTTTAAATAATCTAGATTGAAAACTAATTTCTTTAGAACTGCTCTTTGTGCTTAAGTTGTTGTCCTTCCCCCGCATCTTCGATTACGTACGGTGCGAAAGAAGTTCAGTATACATACTAACATGGTAAGGGGAACCCTACAATCAACAACTGTGTTGATTGTGAGCAATGCACATTTATAAACCACTGCTCCACCCCACGACAGACATTTTGCAGGCACTCTTTCATAAAAAAATGTTCAACTATCTTATTGGATTTCTCCCAAAAGCGCTATGAGGCAGTCGCATTAGTGGGTTGACGTGCCAACGCGTTTGTGAGCGACTCGTGTGTTGCAAACGTATTTTATGCTACTGTCATGAATCAGAGGCCTGCTTAATGCACGCTGTTGTGATATAATAAAACGTCACTGTGAGGACAGCTGCCGTTAAGAGCGGCTGAATGCAAGCAGTAACAAGCCCGCACGCAGCAATAAGCGAAGCAAATCGAGGTGATGCTCATAAGGCTGCTGTTGCTGCACTGTGTTTTTTATGATGCCCCTGTTATATATTTGACGCTGTCAAACGCTTAGGGTGTCGTGATGTATTGAGTGTGCACTGCGCCGCTGTGCGAGTGAGGTCAATATCAAAGACAAAGATCCCCCATATAGCCTTAACAGACTGTTGGGGTAAATGTTGTTATCGAGCATCTATTAAGGCCGGCACGGCACATGATGGGGTGGGTGGCCAGCACCACGCATGGCCACATTTGTCTCACTTGTGGCAATGTTTACACGCTGCACCAGCTACTCATTTGAGGCTGAGTCGACCTACTGGAGGCCCAGGACCGGTTAAAAAAATCGTCACTGGTGTTGGCCGTGAGAGGGAATCCAACTCGGGTCGCCAGATTCGTAGTACAGCGCACCAACCACTACACTACCGAGTCCGCTATCACAGACAAAAGCATGCAAGAACGGTGCGCAATCATTTACATGCACGCAAGGATGCACAGGGGCTTACGTACCCTTATCGGGGTCTTTGTTCGCTGGGTGGCTTACACAGTCTGTGCGCTCAGCAGGCTCTAATGAGCCTTTAAAGGCAGCATCTGCAACAAACGCATCATAACTATTGTGCAGGCGTAAACATCTCGCTTGCAAAATAACGATCGAGCCGGATGTGCACCTTCATTTTAGGAGTTGAAGCTATGAAGGATGCGTTTGCTGTAAACGATGAATATTGATTCATGCAATATAGATTCTTACGCTCACTGCAACACAAGTCATTGTGCGTGCGAGAATAATTTGTTAAATGAAAATGCAAATGTAATGCTAAACTTTCATTTAAGCGAATGAAGCAAGCTAATCTGTGCAGCGACAAAAAAAACAATACAAAAGAGGCCAAAAACCACTGCTTCTTGATTCGAATCACAAAACCGAATTGTGACGGTTCATCAAATTACTGCTGGGAGGGAGGGGGAATGTGGGTGGGATGCATCGCTACAAGCCGATTAATCACCATCTCAAGTACAAAAACTGAGCAGGCGAGTGGGAAGGAGATTATTTCTGCCGCCGCTCACCGTTGCGGAAAGAAGCCACGACGCCGACAGCGAAGAAGGTTTCTTTGTCCGGGAGCGACAGGTCGAGCAGTCTGTGGCTCGCGCGTGTGTCCCCCGGGACCTCCTCCTCTGCGCGCGCGGGAGCAGGCGTGCTTTCCTTGCCTGCGGCGGCGCATCCAACGTCGTCCCGCAACGATTTATCTCGGGAGCGACCGTCGCTTCCCGCGGGAACAACCGTGCTCTTGGCAAGGTTCGTCTGCTTGCCTTTGAAATGGTCCACGCGGCCCGACGCCAAAGCAGCGGCGACGTTCGTCTGCTCGCCGAAGGGCCGATGCGGCCCTCTGTCCGCGTGTCGATGCGGCTCCGCCTTTGAGTCCTGCGAGTCGGGTTCGGGAGCGTGGATCGATTCCACGGCAGTTGATGGCAGCGGTTGATTGTCGCCGAGCGAGCTCCCATCTAGGGTTCGTGCGGCCGTCCCCTCGTCTGGCTCGCTCCACCTCGTCGCCTCCGCGCTGTGCGGCTGCGCCGCCTTGTCTCGGGGGCTGGCGGGGCTCGGCGCGCCCGCCTGTGCGTTCGTACCGAGCTGAGCCGGAGACGCGACGTTGAGGTTTGTCGAATGGGCGTTGAGTTTCTCGGCGGCGCTGCCCGGTTTTGGCTGCGGAGCGCTCACGCTGGAATACCTGATGTTAGATTGTCCGGGATGAAATCCGATGGGAGACACGGCCCGCTTTCTGATGTGTTCAACAGAGAGAGTGGCTCGTGGACCGACGTTCGGTTTCGAGTCTATGGATTGCACGAAATGTTTAACATTGGAAGTGTTAGGAGGGACGGAGGCGTTCTGATTGACCTCAACATTTTTGTTGCCATCCACGGCCGTCCCTCTGCACTCCTCTTGCCCGGACACTTTCCAAACGGGCGTGATGGTGGCTCGGCTCGGGGTGGGGGCGGCTGCCAACTCAAAGCTCTTGAGGGTCTCTGGACGGGGGACTTTCTTCACCTCGATCGCCAGCCTGTTCTCCTTCCTTTTCAACTCAAGGTCTATAGTTCTGGCGTTCGTCTCTGCAGAATTACCGTCATCGTCCAGGCCGCCGACAGAAGCGGCCTCGTCGCCGGCGCTCTCCGCTGACGGCTTCTTGCTGAGCGGGGCGTTGTCGTCGTGGTCTTCGGTGGGAGCCACTTCCAGCTGAATGGGTCTCTCTGCCAAGGTGTCTGGGCCAATGTTGGCATTGGACACACTGCCCGTGAACTTGGTGTAATTCTTGTTCAGGTCCAACCGCTGCTGGCCGTGGTTTTCCAGGGTCTCCGCCGAGCAAGGGGACGTACTTTCCACAACTCTGCTCCCTGAACCGCCGAAGCCGTCGCCCGCGGCCTTGTTGGCGGCATTAAACTTCTCCGTTCTGCACTCTTCCGCCGAGCTCTCGGCCTTGTTCGCGCAATCGGCGTCGCCCGACGCGTTGCCGTCGGAGTCGGAACCCTCGACCGTGCCCCCGCAGCCGCCCGTCTCGCAAATCGCCGGGGTGCCCGTCGCGTCTCGCTCGTGGTAGCGCTCGGTGGCGTCGGCGTGGTAGCGGTCGTTGCGGTCCTGCCACACGCACGAGATGGTGAGGAAGCCGGCGGGCACCGACGGGGAGATGACGGGCGGTACGGGGATGGGCCGCGGCGGCTGCAGGATCTCCTCCATCACGTCCGCCTCGTCCCGCTGCGCCGCACTGCTCGCGCACAAAACGCGCGCACGATAAGTGGGATCCGTGCCGGCGAGGTGGCGAGGTCAAACACGTGCAGCGATGATAACCGGCTTGGCGTTGCGTTCGATGGTTTAACACCAGTGGTTCGCACCATTTGGCACACGTACCCACTGGTGGCAGCTGGCGAGTGGTACGCAAGCAGTCTGTAAGTGGCACACTGAAGAGTCGGGACGCGAGTGTGTGGATATCCTGTATGCATGCATCAGTGAGTTTTAATTTTTGAATACACGCACGTAAGTGCCCATTTGTAGTCAAGTAGGCAGGAGTTGCATGTGCTTATATATGTATATGCATAATTTAAAAGTAGAGTAAATTTTGAGACTATATTTTAATTATATTCTACAGTGTGATTGATAATGTAACCATTGGCTTTTTGAATAATATATTTTAACGTTCTTTAAAAAGACTTTAGTTGGGTAATATGAAAACTTTACTTTATATTGTTTCAGCGGTGGTATGCCACGTGAGCAAAGTTTAGGAACCGATGGTTTATATCATGAGGTTAGCTTCAGTGGCCAAGGCCAGCAGAATTATATCAACAGTGTGGCACCCAAGACACATGACTTTGGAGGCAATGAGTGGAACTGATGATAAGACTGTTACCTAACATGGCATTCGCACTTGCCAATGATTTGCATGCACATATGTATGCCATCTGTTATGCAAGTGTGACCAAATATCTGTTTCAGCAAAGCCTTATTGCTGTGTGCTATTGCATGGTTCTACTTTTATGTGTGTGTAGCATCCTAATACAAACAGGAGTCAATGGAATTCAACCGAGTGGCTTAGGGATTTATAGATGTGAGCATTGAGTTTTGGGGATACAGCGACAAGTATACAGCCAATACACAAGAATACAATTTGGGAATGTGAAGCATCCAAATCGACCACATCTAAAGACGTGGCACCGAGTCGGCAAGTGTGAGTTGGGTGAAAGCAGGGAACACTGACTTGAGATCATAGAAGTAATCTAACAACAGTGAGTACACACAAGCAGTAAACATGGGCAATGCTGCGAGTGCCACACCAACACAGAAAATTATGAATTTTTATTCTTGCTTGCCAGGTGAAGTTAACTCAACTGGACACACGTTACCTTTTGACACGTGGGGGTTTTGGGGGCGGCAGGTCAGGAGTTCCCGGAGGAGATGCCGATAGGTCGGCCTCGTCATCCTGCAATGGAAGTGCAGGCGTAAAAGCAAGGTACGCTCACGAGTAGAATGGTGGCATGCTCACCTTTAGCCTGCCTGCATGGATGTTGCTGCTAGAATGAGCATGTTACACACTCAGATAGTGAGAACACTTGTTATCCCGCACTCGTACGAGTCCAGTCCATCAAGTATGTGCACGACACGGCCACATTGATTCCATCTCCAAGTCACGACAGATAACTGCGTGACACAGGGGTGCAATATTTTCGATTTCTCATGTGCCACAGTTGTTTTTATACCCATTTCCATTTGCTTCATTGCTGTACTTTTTTTTTATTTTGCGTTTATGTTGGTGACCCAGATCAATCTTGCAAATGGGACTTACCTGGGGTTTCTTAAGTTCTCACCTAGTTAAATGAAATTAAGGTGAGGTTCAAGTCTTCTCAGTGCTTAACTACGCCAGTGGCCTATCCTTCTGCAGCCTCATAAACATGTTCCCCACCGACCATAATCTCCTCTTCCTGATTAAATACTCGTGTTACTCGCCTACGGACACTGGCGTCCTTGATTGCTGTATAATTTAAAGACATTTGTCAATCCTTCGTGGATTAAATGCCTCCCCGTGCTGTGTCGGTCTTGAGGATTGGGGGGCCACAGTGGTGAGACGTTAACTACCTTGCCTGGTATACCGGAGGTCGTCGGTTTGATCCCAACCCTGACGCCTGCATATTTGGAGTTTGCATGTTCTCTCTCCCCATGGTCGTGTGGATTTTTCTCCGGGTCCTCTGGGTTTTCCCTTCACATTTATAACCAGCGTGCATAAAGAGTATTTGGCTGATATAAAGTAAATATGGGCCTTACCTGGCAAAATAAAAAAAAGCTTTAGTCGTAGTTTTATAGGATCAATTTACTGTAATGCACTCTCATCATACTTCACCATATTCATCATTGTGAATTGATGAATGGGGGGGGGGGGTTAAAATTTCATTCACCTCTGATAATTATAAAGTTACGTTGTGATGTGATAATAAGTCAATAAAAAATAGTTTTGTATGACCCGTCCTTTGCTTTTTCCAATTTCCATGAGAGGGCACTATAACACTGACACACGCTGTAGTCCCTTCACAAGCAAAAAAAAACAACTGTCAAACAACAAAAATCACGCAATAGTAGATTTCTCCACAAGTAATCAGTGAATTTATGCAAAGTATTCCCCGTGGAAGTTTGGTGTATATTGCAAACGTCCCACAAATGGTGTATTATTGTTGTTGCCAAGAAAACCGATTTAGCCTCCAAGAAAATACAAATAAATCGCAGAATGATATAATAACCAAGAATGCTCTTTGTTACGACTCTAAAGTTACGTTACATGGCCTAATAACGATAGTCCTTCCAGCCCTCTGTTAATATACGGTCATGGGGGTTACTTGACCCTACTTCACCATGCTGGTCAGTGCGGTTTGGTGAAGTGGAAGCCCAGGTTTGGTTTCAGATAACCCTTTGCCACTTATGATAGCTGTGGCTGGAAATCAAACTTAGGTCGCCTGGCGCATAGTGCAGTGTGCCAACCACTGTACCACCGTAATAGAAAATTACTGGTCTATTGAATATTTATTACCAAGTACTGTACAGCACTTAAACGTTGGCTGGCTCAGAGCAGGCTATGGGTTGGCTATCTTTACGCTGTAAAGCAATTAATAAATACGTTCGGGAAACACAGCTACACCGCTAAGAGTCTGCACAATTAGGATAAACGGAACCAGCGCTGACAAATTGACGTCGTCGTTCAAAGGGCCGTCGCAGAAGTAAACATCCGTGCTTCGCTCCCGCCGCAGACACAAAGCACAGAATGGCAATCGCCGCAAACTACGGGCGCTGCTCATACCATCACGTGACAAGATTACTTTCTGCGATTTTAAAAAAGAATAATCACAAAATGATAAAACGTAGAGGGTGAAACAATTTGGATTCATAAAGCGTCTAATGAAGACCGTATCCAAAGACTCGGCACAAAGTAGGGGGGGAGCGTAAATTTTGCGGTAGTTAGAAAAAAAGAGACATTTAAAAAAATATTTTTGGGTGGCGATAAGGGGATGCAGTGTAGAGGGGGAAAGGGGACAACGGAAAGGTGCCGATAAAGAAACTTCACCGAGAAAGGAAAGTCCGTTATAGGGAGAGGAGAAGAGGATGGTTTTGAACATGGTCTTAAACAGGGGAAGGCGCTAAAAGCTGCAGAGAGCGCCAGGCAGAGAGGATTCCAGACAACTGAGAGAGCAATGGAGCAAAGAGCGGCCTTCCTTTGACCACAGAATGCCTGGAGCTTTTGACAGCAAGCCTTGGTTACTGCCACACAGCGATCGCAAGTTGAGCCCACGAAGGAAATTTCGCGATTTCCAATCTCATCTTTGTGCAGAGCAGCGGAGCGCTTGCCGTGGTCGTTTCAGAATCAGAAAGGGTTTTATTCGCCATGTAAGTTCACACCGACACACGTAAACCGACTGTCCGTTTTCTCGTCAGCCCCTTCGAGCAACCCAAGCCCACGCACCGACAGCTGAATCCGGAACATCTCGTCCCTACTGCATTCCTGAGGTTTGGCAATGGGAGGGCTGCTCTGCAGCGTACAAGGAACAGAGTTCTGGCTAGCGGGCTGGCTCGGCTGTCTGGCTGCCTGACTGGCCAGCTACACACCACACAAACAGCCTCAGGACAAGATCCTGCACAGACGAAAAAAAAGTGTCACTGTAAGAGCGAGCAAAGACGATAACACGGGAAAGGTAACAGACTGTAGTATGGCAGGGCAGGCCCCCTGATGAAGCTAACCGGCTCACTGCAACTGTAGCCGTGCGCATTCACTTGCCACCTGCACCCCCCCCCCCCCCCACGATGGCATTTTCATGCTTGGTTAAGCAAAGCCGTGGTCAGCGAAATGAAAACAAAATTACATTTTCAAGGGTAGACGCTGTTAAAGCTGCCACAAATGTCACTAGAATTGTCTTCTAATTTACATTCAATTTATGTGAGACATGTTTTTGTTAGTTTCATTCTGGATAAGAACTGAACACGGAGGAAAGGATTGAATTTATTACATCAAAAATACAACTTTGGCTCCCACTTAAATTGTTTAGCATTTCCCACTATATTGGTGCAGTGTTAAGAAACCCTAAGCATTTTAACCCCGGTTTAGAAATATTTTATACTGTGTATTTCCAATAAATAAGAGGTCTCATTGTATTCTCTCAATCACGAGATGAAAGGCTGGCTTGTAAGGGGGTAAAACTATGGGTGGAACAATGTATAAACTCACAAATTAATATCGATTCTTAAGCTCACGTGCGCAATTTTCTTTATCAATGTTTCTCTATAGCTCTTTTTCAGAAGTGACCTGGCTATTACAAATAATATCTCAACGAAGTGGTTTATTTCGTGGAAATTTATAGAAGCCAAATACTTTAAACGCACATTGATTCTAAATGTGGAGGGAAAAACTGGAGGACCCGGACAAAAATCCACACGACCACGGAGAGAACACGCAAACTCCAAATATACAGCAGGCGTCAGGGTCAGGATCAAACCCACGACCTCCTGCATACCAGGCGAGGTAGTTAACATCTTGCCACCGTAGCGCCCAAGTCATTACAGAGGCCAACTTTCACGGTAAAGTAAAAAAATGCTGTGCTTGATTCTTGAATCAAATTGTAATGCTGAATGGTGGAATTTCTAAAAATCTGATGATGGTAGGGCTGGTAAATGTATGTTGAACTTCTTTTGCAACGTACGTAGCCAACCGTGCTAATAATGGGAGGTGTGGAATTGCCCCACTCCCACGTGACGATGAAAAATAAGAACATCCTACATCACTGCCCATTAGCACACTTGCCAGATTTGGCTTAATTCAACAAGCCTCAGGGTCGGCATTCTCAGCAAAGTCAGAAAATAAACAAATACTTTTTAAGCGCTTTCCAAATTATGTTTGTAAGCGTTAACACATTAGCTCTGTTCGTCCGTCAATCTGTTTGCAAAATGGGGGCACAATAACTCCCAGAAATTGGATTCCTTATGAACAACATTTTTAGTAAAAAAAAGTTGCGTTACTGTAAAGGGCTAACCATTGAGAATACCAGTCAGATCGATCAATAGGTTTCAGAAATAGTTGGCAGACAAAACAACCTCCAGCACTACAAGGATTAGCCTTGCTGGCCAAGGGGGTGCATGCTTGTTGGCCTTCCCCTCCCCTCCCAACATCGCCGATACACATCATCTCACGATGCCGCAAGTCGCGTGCTGTGTGATGTCGTCTCGTTATGCGGTTTGACACACAAACGTCGTTGACGTAAATTAAATACTTCAGAGCATAAACGTGTGCTGGAAAGCATTGCAGAACCCATGCAAATGCACGATATGTCTTGCATGTTATCATTCACGGCAAGATGATTAATTATAGTCTGTGGCAACAACAGATACATTGATAAACTTCTTATTCTTATATTAGTTGTGTAACAATGTGTCCTCCTTGCGATTTGATGAACTGTTGCAATTCAGGGTGACAATTCGATACATTAATATATTTGTTTAAGTTTCTGTGAACGCTAGCGCCTCTAGTTGCTGCAGGGATGATGTGAAACCATTAAATAAAAAGTGTACAAATCTTAAAATATTGGATCACTTACTCACTGGATTCGCTACATACATCGTAAACAGAAAAATCGATGTTAATCAATAGAACGATGCATTAGTATGGACCAACTCAACTTCGCTGATGGCGTAGTCAATATAATAACCAAAAGTAATTCACTACGGGATACGATGGGACAACTTATAAAGGCGGCAAAAGTGGGTCCAACGATAAATATCACCAAAACAAAAGTCACGTCCAACAAGTTCGTTGAACAAAAATAAATATTTGAGGGACCCAACTGATCCTCATGGCGGTACCCCGGGGTACCAAATAATACAAAATGGCCGAGGCAATAAAATATTTTATTTCTGGGACACTATTTTTTCCAGGGGTGTTGCTTAACTCCG